TATATGTGTAATACATATAATATAATATTATACTGCATTTATTATATGTGTAATACATGGTGTATAATATCATACAGGGTTTATTATATGTGTAATACATGTTGTATAATATCATACAGGGTTTATTATATGTGTAATACATAGTATATAATATTATACTGCATTTATTATATGTGTAATACATGGTGTATAATATCATACAGGGTTTATTGTATGTGTAATACATGGTGTATAATATCATACAGGGTTTATTATATGTGTAATACATGTTGTATAATATCATACAGGGTTTATTATATGTGTAATACATGGTGTATAATATCATACAGGATTTATTATATGTGTAATACATGGTGTATAATATCATACAGGGTTTATTATATGTGTAATACATGTTGAATAATATTATACAGGGTTTATTATATGTGTAATACATGGTATATAATATCATACAGGGTTTATTATATGTGTAATACATGGTGTATAATATTATACTGGATTTATTATATGTGTAATACATGGTGTATAATATCATACAGGGTTTATTATATGTGTAATACATAATATATAATATTATACTGGATCTATTATATGTGTAATACATGTTGTATAATATAATACAGGGTTTATTATATGTGTAATACATGGTGTATAATATCGTACAGGGTTTATTATATATGTAATACATGGTATATAATATCATACAGGGTTTATTATATGTGTAATACATGGTATATAATATCATACAGGGTTTATTATATGTGTAATACATGGTGTATAATATTATACTGGATTTATTATATGTGTAATACATGGTGTATAATATCATACAGGGTTTATTGTATGTGTAATACATGTTGTATAATATCATACAGAGTTTATTATATGTGTAATACATGGTGTATAATATCATACAGGGTTTATTATATGTGTAATACATGTTGTATAATATCATACAGGGTTTATTATATGTGTAATACATGGTGTATAATATTATACAGGATTTATTATATGTGTAATACATGGTGTATAATATCATACAGGGTTTATTATATGTGTAATACATGTTGTATAATATTATACAGGGTTTATTATATGTGTAATACATAGTATATAATATCATACAGGGTTTATTATATGTGTAATACATGGTGTATAATATCATACAGGGTTTATTATATGTGTAATACATGGTGTATAATATTATACAGGATTTATTATATGTGTAATACATAATATATAATATTATACTGGATTTATTATATGTGTAATACATGGTGTATAATATTATACAGGGTTTATTATATGTATAATACATGGTGTATAATTTTATACAGGATTTATTATATGTATAATATATAATATTATACAGGATTTATTATATGTGTAATACATGGTGTATAATATCATACAGGGTTTATTATATGTGTAATACATGGTGTATGATATTATACATAAAATAAAAATCCCATCCCAAGACTATAATCACCAGGTCATTCAAGAAATGTAATCTTGAATTCTTTTTAAACGATCTCAAGAACATACCATGGCACATATTAAGTCATTTTTTTTCAGTCCAAGCTCTTGCGTGTCTGGAATTTGCATGCCCCTCTGCGTAAAGTGCAACTTAAAGGCTCACACCTGCCCTGGGTTACAGCTGACCTCATTCCAATGTACCAGTTTAGAGATTCACTGTGGTCAGAGTTCAAGAGTACTGGCTCCATGAACGATCACTGTACTTACAGACAATGGCGAAATGCATGCACAAAGCAAACAATGGCAAAGGCCCAATATTTCAGTGAAAACGTGAACAATAACCTATCAAACCCAATAAACTTTTGGAAAATCATTTTACATAGTTGCCAACTGTCCCGTTTTTGCCGGAACAGCCCCGGCAAGCTGGAGTCTGTCCCAGGCAATTCACTCTCCCAGGACAATCCCGGCAATTTGCTGGCCATGTGCTTTTATTATTTTATAATAATAGGCTGTTACAGTCCGAGGGGATTAAGGAGAGAGGTGCTCACTGCTGGGGGCTGGGGAGAGGTGCTGGGGGCCATAGAGCGATGCTGGGGCTGGGGAGAGATGCTGGGGGCTGGGGAGAGATGCTGGGGGCTATAGGGAGATGCTGGGGCTGGGGAGAGGTGCTGGGGGCTATAGGGAGATGCTGGGGGCTGGGGAGAGGTGCTGGGGGCTGGGGAGAGGTGCTGGGGGCCATAGAGAGATGCTGGGGCTGGGGAGAGGTGCTGGGGGCCATAGAGAGATGCTGGGGCTGGGGAGAGGTGCTGGGGACTGGAGAGAGGTGCTGGGGGCAAAAGGGAGATGCTGGGGGCTGGGGAGAGAAACTCTAACACACACAGCACCTCTGACACACATGCACAGCACCACTCACACACAGTACCCCTCACATACACACACCACCCCTAACACACACACTACACCCCTGACACAAAGCACCCCTAACACACACACTATACCCCTGACACAAAGCACCCCTCACACACACACAGCACCCCTCACATACACACACAACCTCAACACACACTACACCTGACACAAAGCACCCCTCACACATACACAGCACCCCTCACACACAGCACCCCTCACACACACAGCTCCCCTCACACACACACATAGCATCTGTCACACACTGCACCCCTCACACACAGCATCCCTACAAACACAGCACACCTACACACAAACACATACACTGCACCCCTCACTGCAGTCTGTGTGCATTCAGTAGTCTGTGTGTATTCAGCAGTGTGTGTGTGTGTGTGTATAAAGCAGCCTGTGTGCATTCAGCAGTGTGTGTGTGTGTGTGTTCAGCAGTCTGTGTACATTCAGCAGTCTCTCTGTGTGTGTTCAGCAGTGTGTGTGTGTGTATGTATTCAGCCTTATGTATGTATTCAGCCGTCTGTGTGTGTGTGTATTTAGCAGCCTGTGTGCATTCAGCAGTATGTATATGTATTCAGCATTGTGTGTGTATTCAGCATTGTGTGTGTGTATATATTCAGCAGTCTCTATGTGTGTTTTTTGTGTGTATTCAATGTACTGTATGTGTGTACTCAGCAGTCTCTGTGTGTGTATTCAGCAGTCTGTGTGGGTGTATTGTGAAGAAATGACTCCGTTCATCAGGATTTCTACCTTTGTTGCACAAGTTAATTCACCCAATTCAGCTGGAATTCGGCATATAGCTATAATTTCTACCATTCGAATGGATTCAGGCGAATTCCCCGTGTAAACTCTAGGTGGCCGCCATTTCGGCACTTTACACATGGTCGCGGCCATTTTACGTGCGAACAGCGGTGTTTGCCCGTCAAACGCGTGGAACTAAAATCGGATACACAAACAGGCGAACACCGCTGAGACCTCCATACATCCAGAACTTCGCACGGAAAAAACCGAATGACCGGCCGTTCGGTAATTACATGCAACTTCGTATGGGGATTTCAACGACCACGAAGATGCGAACGGATGGCAGGACTTTCGTCTTTTTTATTCGCCTAAACGGAGACCGACCGCAGGGCCAAAACTTATGGAACTATTTTCGGCTAGATGATCCGTGCGGTCGGTCAAAACTTTAGTGCTCCATAACTCCCGAACCATTCATCCGAATGGACTGATTTTTTGACATATTGTCCCCACCAGTGAGCACTATCCAGCGGTGCCCAATTTAAAGGTGTACCCCCTGTTTTTGGGGTACATCCAGAACTGGGGTAAAATAGTGCACGTTTTAATTAAGTTAACTGTTTATCAGAGGGGAGGGAGGGATGGGCTGTAACCTATACCTGATTGGTGATTTAATGCCTCCCCCTGGGTGTGTACTTCTTGTCTGTAACCTTAATAAAAAGCAGGCTGGAGATTCCAGACCTCAGATCTACTTGTATCCTGATTCTGGACTCTGACTGTTATTTGGGAATTCGTATGCTTTACCAAGGGGATTATCTTGGGAAGCTGTTATATTTCTTATGGACTTCATTGCTTAGAACTACCTTAGACGCTGGCATTGCAGGAGGAATTATCAAAGCGGTTCAGCTATACTTGATTTCCTTACAACTGGTGGCAGAGGTGGGATTCGAATCCCAAATGGACATTTCAAAACAAGCAAAAGGAATGAATGGCTCAGCAGTACCAGCTACTTAAAAGAACCACGCTAAAGGACTTACTGGAAGCTCGAGGCAGAGTGGCAAGTAACAAAACAAAAGC